AACTGGCGACTTGGTAGTACAACTTGAGTACGCGGAGTATCTGGGGAGCTGGAAGATGAGAACTGGCGACTTGGTAGTACAACTCCAGTACGCGGAGGTGACTTGCGAGAGGTCAAGAACTTGCAGAAAAAAGGTGTTCCTGCGCGTCAGAAAGACATACAGAGAGAGACACATACACACACAGACATAGACACACACACAGAGAGACCCACACACTGCCTCAACACACTCGACTTAACACTTCACACTGAACACTTAACAGATATATAACTCACACTCTGACTTCCTACGTGATGAAAAATGCTTTCGGGCCACTCGTCGTCTAGTTTTTTGTATCTTGTAGCGGAACACTAAAGACATTCTGCAATGATTGAGGTGTAAAACGAGCCTTACAGAAGCAAAGGGCGATAGACAGAGAGAGAGAGAGAGAGAGTCAGAAGCAAGGTCCAACCGAAAATGTGGGAGGGAGGACTCAGCTTCTTCAAGCGACATTACACATCCCGCATGTTGTTGTTGTTGTTGCTGTTGTTGTTGTTGTGGTGGTGGTGGTGGTGTTCCAATGTGCCCCACCAGGTGTTTCCACTGGGCAAGCGTAAGATCTTGGAAGTTTGCAGTCCGCGTTTCGCCTCTTCATCACAAGCGTTTCACACGCAGTCCATGGAAGCGTGAAGCGCACGTTTAATGGGATCAGATCCAGAACGCTCAAGCCCTCGTCTTCCCACGGATCAGATCGGATGTGATCGGATCGGTCCGCTGGGGGTTCGTCGTTGGACGCCGGTCCGTCCAGACGACGACCGGTCCACAGTCCTGAGGTGAACGCATTGCTCCGCACCAGTCCCACCAGTGACCCGGATCGCAGGAGAAGCGGATCGCGGGAGGAAGTTGGTTTGGAAGGTTTGGAGGTTCTCAAGCCTAGCCTTCACGGTTGATGAGGGTTGAACGGTTGTGTTTTCATTTTTGGATGTGTGTGTGGTTGATGTGCGCACAAGGGTCGGATCTAAGAGTGAATGGAAGGAGGCAGGTGTTTTGCGCTTCCAGGTGCAGGATGGAGTAGCATCACTTCCATGTGTTTGTTCTCATAACAAAGCCATGGTGTGGTGCCAATATATGTGCCCCCCCAAAGAGGCGCCAATCTGCCAAACGATGCGCCAGTTTGGGGGTGCGTCCAGTTTGTGAGCCCTACCCCCCCACACACTGGAGGAACCATGGTTTGTTTGCGTCACTGGACAAAAGCCCTCGAAGCATCTTGAAGTCCAAGATCCCAACTCTTTGGATGGATAATGTTGATAGGTTCTGCTGCTCACAGTGTTCCGACCGAACAACAGGAGAGAATGATACGGTCCCTGGAATCATCATGGAAGTGGACAATCCCCTGTTTGTAGAGAACAAAGTCATCCAACCTTTTCCACTTCAGGGAGTGTAGGCCCTTGCATCCCACAAATGTAGCGTTTGATGGCGTCACATGGTTGCTTAAAGGAAGATCCTTCCATTCCTTCCTTTCCCTTGACATTTTATGGACAATCTTGAAGTCTTAGACCATCCAATCATCTCCACATCATCCCTTGCCCCCAAAACAAATCAACCATTTCCCATCCCGCAGCCTCCCCCAAATCACACCGCGGTCTCCCTTCTCTCATCTCCACCCTGCGCGAGTGAGCGACAACAGGTCCATGGCCCTTGGAGGACTTGGTCCAGTTCATCCCGTTGGGCCTCGAGGACTCTCTGGGGCCGCGCTGTCGCCATAGCGCGGTGGCCTTGGCCGTCACGCTCTACCGTGCCGTGGCGGAGGGGGGCCGAGATGGGAGGGAAAGGGGTCAGGAAAAGAAAGGAAAGAGAGAGAAAGGGCTCAAAGTTCAAAAGGATGATCGTATACAGTAGACTTTGGGTTTGTCCTATTACCTGTAACAGTCAGTAAACAATGATCACTACTTTGGGAGAAGGCCTCTACTAACCATCATCATCCACTGATACAGGTAATAGGATAGATTCGGATAGACCCAAAGTATACTCATGATAGTGCTCATGATATCTCAGTGTTGATGTTGTTGGACCAACTGGGTCATACCGTCCGGTGTCTTTTCCAGATGTTGGGCCATCTAAAGAACTGCACTGCCACGCTGGCGGTTGTGCAAAGTTGAGGTTGGCCCGTTACATGGTCACATTTGCACAACTTTAGAACAGGTCGCTCAAGCCCAACGCAGCTTTTCTACGACTGCAGAAAGCTAGGCATTTAATACCATGCTGGGATTATGTGTGATCGTGATTGGAAGTCCAACCCTCACGTAGTTTCGCAGTGTGGTTCATTGGCAAGAGGACTCAGAGAGTGACCAAAAGAGGAGAAGTGGAAGAAGCTATGATTTGTTTCTTCTTCCGGCCCACTGTATATGTTAAATACCCAGTGGGTCAACGCACCAGTTTAACCGGTCCCAACTGCTCGGAGGAATGGAAAGAATGTGGCAAACTCCTTTTTCACCCATTCCAGGTCAGATCCGCTCCAATGTCTTTTCATCAGAGGATAGCATTCACCCCCAAGTGTGGTGGACGGGGACCTACTTTTTGTTGCTGTAAATTAAAACATTGCGATCGAGTGAGAATGGCTACTCTTCCATCCACCAGCTCACTTCCTCACTACCAATAGCCAAAAGCAACGAGGGGCTACGGCGGGCACGGCGTTCTCCACCGTTCTCTCCACACCCCACCGAGGCCTACACGGCCCGCCCTGCGGAGAGCGGATCCTGCAGCGCTGCGAGCGGGCGGCGAAGCAACAGCTGCTGCGGCAGCGCTTTCGAGAGGTGGACGAAGAACATGGCCAGGAGAGGAGCTGGAACCAGGTGGAACAGACAGACATGCCATGGAACCATGTGGAACAGATATGCCATGGAGCCATGCCACGGTGCAGAGAAATGGGGCATGTTCCGCAAAACAGTGCAGAGAGATTTAGGGCTTCGAGTGCGGAGGAAGCAAGGACGCTGAGCACGGACATGTGAAGAGGGCAAGATCATAAATATTGTGAATCATATTGTGCTGTCTCTTTGTGTTATCCAGGATTCTGGTTCTTCAA